GACTGTGACATAGAAATCCTCCCTGAGTTTCCAGTCTGCTGTCCTATGGAATCTGGACTCAAGACTGTGACATGAACTCTTTCTTTTTTTTTTTAATTTTTATTTATTTATTTATTTCCCCCAAAGCCCCAGTAGATAGTTGTATGTCATAGATGCACATCCTTCTAGTTGCTGTATGTGGGACGCGGCCTCAGCATGGCCGGAGAAGCGGTACATCGTGCGCGCCTGGGATCCAAACCCGGGCCGCCAGCATCGGAGCGCATGCACTTAACCGCTAAGCCACAGGGCCGGCCCTGAATACTTCTTATTTTTGTATAGAAAATTTTCTGCTTTCACAATCTTCATTCATTATTGGGGCATTTCACTTTCCTTATAAGTATACATTTCTACTTCAAGTGACTGAGAGAATTTCAACCTACAAAGCACATAAGAAGATTACTTCTAGAATGCTTATTTATGTTTGGAAGTGACCACTTTGATGTTACCATTAAGTCAGAATGACATGCTTGTCCATAATTCTGAAATTGCTGTGGTTAATTAGGTACTGTTATGACAGTAATGTATGCAATCATGTGATCATTGATCACTTACAAGGTCAGGGTCACTTACAGGTCATCAAAAATGATGGCAGGGTAGACATTTGGCTATTCAACTTTGAAAGGCCAAAATGAAAGTTAAAGAGCTAATTTTGACCAAATTCTGGTGGAACATGAAGACTGAATCCAACCTTGGCAGCATCTCTCTATCTGCGTCATTCTTCAGGCCTTAACTATTGACTCCACGTTCTCTACAAAGACCCACCGTAACTCTTCCCACCCAGACTGAAATACCATCCTGGGAGCTCTGGGGATGCTGTGGATGTCCTAGCTACATATGAACCTTATAGTTCCTTGAATCTCCCACCCCAATGGACTTCACCTCCACTCTACATCGGGCAACCCCTTCAAATGGCCACCCCCCGGGTCTTGTTGTCCACAACTGCTTCACCTGGACATTTGAAGCCTGGGTACCCCACTTTGTGGCCACAGCACCCTTCTTTGTTGGAGCTTCCCCTCAGCCTCATTCCTAGCATATCTGTTCATCACTCTCATGGGCACCTCCAGTGTCTTGACTCCAACCCTTGGAGAAAGAGGCCTTCCAAGGCCAGCCTCCCACATCCTGAGGCTGGGTCTCCTTCGCGACCTCCTCCCAACCAACGCTCCGACTGGATCTTAATGTGAGTGCTCTTCCCTTCTTTCGCAATCACATTTCTTCTCACAGTCTTACTACTTCCTATAAGCTGAGAACTCCACCTGAGCCCTGACTCGCCCCTCAAGCTTCCAACTCAGTCAAACTCGGCTCCCGCCTATGTGCACCTCAAAGCCAACGTGTCCCAAACCAGTCTCTTCATCTTTCCCCCAAAACCTGCCTCTTTTGTCATCTTAGTGTCAGGTTTGCATCACCCCGTACCCAAGACAAAAACCCCAACTTGTCTCTTCCTCATTTCCCACATCCAATCAGACACTGAGTCCAGGTGATCCCACCTCCTATATATTTGTCAAGCCCATTCCCTCTTCTCTGGACCTATGGATACTTTTAGCCCTTACACAGACATCTGGTAAGTGTGGTGGACTGCCTCCAAAGATGGCCCGCAACATTATTGCCCAGGCCGTGTGCTTTTGTGCAGTTCCTGTCATCAGGAAATGGAACCTCCTTCCCCTCCCTTAAGTCTAGGCTGCCCGGTGAGCTGCCCTGCAAGATAGAATGCAGCAGAAGTGACGCTGTGTGGCTTCTGAGGCCAGGCTTTTAGAGGCCTCGTAACTTCCAGTTTTGGGTTCTCAGCTCTCTCCTCTCCGGCAGCCACACTCTAGGGAAGTCCAGGCCGGACTCCAGTGATTACAGACATAGTACCCAAAGCTCTGGCCGCCCCGTCTCTCTGACTCATTCCTGCTACCCCACGGCACACTCTGAGATCTGTGACTCCACGATCCTGGAGGCCCTTGAAGCCAGCTAGGCCGTGTCCTGTTCCTTATCTTCGCTCCCACACTGTCCCCAGTATCTGTGATGCCCTTCTCCCCCTCTCACTTTGCCTCATTCTTCAAGACTCAGTTTAGCACCTCCCACCCTCCAACCCCAGGCCTGTCACCGTCCTCTCAAAGCACGCGCTGTGTGCCTCCCCTGCCACAACACGGCTACCCTGCACTGAAACCCGCTTCTGTTCAATTCTCCCACTGACTGGAAGCCACTGGAGGACAGGACTCTATTTTTTCACTCTTTATAATTCCCAGTGCTTAGCACACAGATACTCCAAAAATGTTTGTTAAATTAAATGAAATTTACTAATTCTGCTTTAGCTAATACCATCTTTTATCATCTAGTCTTGTTCTGTGACTGGTATTCTTGCCGCAAGGAGAGTGTGAGTTCTGGAGCCAGTGACCGAATCTTCTGTGTCTCTTATACCGACAGTAGCACAGTGACACGTGACAGACAAACTCAACATGCTATTCGGTTCTGGCCTCAGTGTCTGGCCAGGCGCTTCCGAGCCCCCTCCATGGTACTCACAGGTCTGAAAGGGTGTCCGGTCAGGCAGAGAGCGGGTTTTCCTCCTGATAGGCAATGACTTTTCCATTTCTTCTTTCAAGATCATCTTTCCCAAGTTGGAAGTAACCTGGGGAGGGAGAAAGGAAGATGGATCTAAGACTTCAATACTTTTTTCTCATCTCCAAAAAGTTCAAAGTTGGGTATACTGCAGGCAGGACTAGGGACAATTTCCTGAGTGGCTGGGTTGCGCCCTGGAGCCCGGGGAGCCTGTCATTCTGGTCTGACGCACTGCCACATTGGGCTTGGCCTCCCTCAAGAAGGAGTCAGAGCTGCTCAGTGCAACTCTGCACGAGTGGCCTCCCCAACCCAGATCCCGATGCCCAGAGCACAAGCCCATGTCACTGCCAGTGGCCTTTCCATGACACCCAATGCCCTCTCTCCTCCCCTGCAGACCAGCAGCCTGCTCTCTCCTTCCTCCTTTTCCCAGGAACTACTCAGCCTACTGATGCCTGGCACTGATGGGGCAACCCTTTTCTGTGCTTTTGACCCTAATATTAACTAGTGTTCCCCACAAAACAGCATGAAGTTCTGGTGTCCCTTCAAAAGCAGTAACTCAAAATCCGGGAAAGAAGAGGAATTCCTCATATGTTCTGACAAGGATGCTCTTCAGGCATGAACGCATTTAGAATAGAATAGCTACAGAACCAGAACTTTTATCCCCAAGAAGACACGGTGGCGGGGGGAGCAGTGAGATGCTACCTTACTGAGTTCCTCTCTCTGACGCTCCCTGAGAGCCTTCATCTCCTCCCCGGAGTCGTCATCTTCCTCCTCCTCCTCTTCCTCCGCCCCTCTCCGTGATGCCTTCCGCTTCCTCCATTCTGTCTCTGGGAAACGGGCAAAAGGATGCACGTCAGTCAATCAAGCATCACTCAATAAGTGTTTACCAGGTGCTGGCTTTGTGCAGGGCACTGGGCTGCACCTTAAGGAGAACACTGCAAATTATTTTTAAAAAATAAAACTAAATAAAATTTTTATTAACATTTTCTAGCCTTGCAGTGAAGCTGGGTAGGCAACACATTCATACAACTTAAATTCATTGGGGACCGAGACTCATTTCTTTTCCTCTTTTCCAGAGCTCCTACCACAGAGGCTGGGAAGCAGAAGTTTGATAAATGCCTGCTAAGTGGGCAAATAAATGAACAGAAAGTGAACGAATGACTAACAAATAGGGCCACTTATACCAAGAGCCATAGGGGTGCAGGGAATGGGTGAGCAATGAGCCTGGAGGGTCCATAGAGGCGGAAAAAAGCGTGAGAGGACCTGTAGGACACAGGGTAGGGTGGGGGTGAGGGGGCTCATGGCACTTCAACAGGAGCTATGAAGCGGCGTCCCGAGCCTCCCTTTCCCTCTCCAACAGTTTCTCCTACCCACAACGGCCAGCGATGGGGGGCATGGCCAGTAGTCAGTTTCGATCTTGGCCGGCTGGTTGGGGTCGGGGGGCTGGGCCGCAGGGAACTTGGATGACTCGATGATGTGGTCCTCATAGGGGTGCTTGCTCTGAGGGCTGCCTCCCATGGACTCTGCAGGGGAGATCAGGGTCAGCCCATGCACACCCTGCCCCGGAGGCCACCTCGGCCCACCTCCAGCCCCAACTCCCTGACCTCCGCCCCAACACGCCTGTGAGACCGTAGATGTAAAAACAACGCGCAACGAGGAGCTCTGGGCCAAGGTTATGTGCCGTTACGACAGCTATTCTATTGCCTCCCAGCCCTCAGCACCTCGGCACAGCCTCCCAGCATGTGGCAGGAAGGGGGCTCAGGTCAGGCAGGGGAACTCTCACCTCTCTGCTTATAGATGGGTGGCTTCTTGTAGATGTTGGAATCTGGGCGGCTGGTCTCTGTGGAGAGGGAGCAAGAGTGGATGAGGAAGAGGAATATGTTGACAGTGGGGGAGGCCAAGTCAGCGAAGAGAATGGAGACAAATGGAAGGGGAGAAGGTAGGAAATTCATGGGCTCCTGCCAAGAGCCAAGATAGAACCAGAGTTCCTGGAACTGTCCCTCAGGGGGTTGGGACATTTTGCACTTTTCTGGTTGGGTGGGAGGGACAATGCGACTGGGCCCACCATCTCCGGGAGCTCTGCCTGGGCTCCTAGCATCAGGGCGTCCGGCCAGGTCTGTGGTGAGCATATACCCCAGGGAGTGGGGGACTGAGAGTAAGGGGCTTGGGTTCCTGAAGGAAAAAAGAGGTCCTAGAGAAAGGATGCAACCATGCTGACAGTAAAACCTACCAGGGTGGTGGAAATGGGGCAGGCTGGTCCGGGGGGTCCCAGTGCTTCTTGGGGCTGAAACCTGAGAGATGGCTCCAGGGGACCGGCTCTCTGCCCACACCTGCAGAGCAGAAGTGAGGTTCGCTGCAGCTCCCAGATCCCCCACCCTACCCCCTCCAACCCATGTAGACGCTGCTTCACCTCACGCCACCACCTCTGTCCTCCCACCCTAGCAGCCCACAAGCCCCCAACCCCAGGGCAGAGGAAGGGTGTCCAAGGACTGGACCCGCTAATGGTACCTGACCCAGGAAGAAAGGGTTAAATGAGGTCCTGGGTCAGACAGACAGACGGACACAGACCTGGCCAGTGACAAGACAAGGTCCTCTGATTCCATCATCCCTTGGGCTCTGCAGAGCCCAGTCTGCCCATGTGTTGGGGAGGGGGAGTTGGGCCCCACCAGAGCAGGGCTGGGCAAGCACCAGGGGTGGGGCAGGCTCACCTCTGGGGATGGTGGGGGGGACGTGGATTTGGGTGACAGCGAGCGCTGCGAATGGAGAGGAGGCTGGTCAGCCACAAGGGTAGGATTAAACACTTGTTCCTAGAACCCCAGACAGGCCACTTCATCCCCCACCCAACTCGGCACCCTTGCCTGGTCAATTTCCAGGCCACCTCTTTTCTCTCAATCCTGGCCAGTTCCCAGGGCTGGCCCTCCTTCTTCTCCCTCCTAGTATTCTCCTGGGCAGGGTCCTAAGTCTTTCCCTAGGAAGTGGGCAGAAGCCTGGAACTTGGAGCAGTGTGTTCTGAGGGCCAACTGAAGATGGCTATGGCCCTGTCCTCGGGACCTAGCAACGAGTGGAGGGACAAGACTCATAAGCATCCAGGATGGAGTCCTCGCCAAGTATTTACGTCTCCCCACAGACTGGCCCATCTCACTGCTCAGCCATGACACTACCCCCTTCTTGAACACAGTTAACAAGGACAATGCTGTGTGTTGTCTCGCGCGCTTGACTACCTGGTGAGGCATCACCCGTATTTTACAGGAGGGGGAATTGAGACCACACCAGCACACAGCTCACTCAGCTAGGACTTCCAGCCTCTGAGTTCAGTGCTCCTGAGTGCTTTCCACAAATTTGCTCTCTTTCTGCCCACGCCCACCCTGTTCCTCCATGACCCCCCCGCCCAGTGCTGCTGTCATTCAAACATGGCCTCACCTGCTCTCTACAGGGAGCCACCCTCCACCTCCAGCCCACCTCTCCCTGCTTTCCACAAACACTGACTGGTTGATCCCCGTGCACAGCTCCCTTTCTTGTTCTGGAGTCTGGCCTCCAGGAAAGAAAGCGTGAAAGGGGTTCTGTCTCCCACCCACTGTGGCTGGAGGAGCTCTTCCCTCAAGTCCTGTCCAAGAGGAACCTCCCACCCCTCACCTCCCGGCTTCTGGGCAGCTCCACATGCTCCAGGAGAGAATAGGTAAAGTGGGGCTCATAGATCATCAGGTCAGGCCGCTCGATGTCCAGGATGGCCTTGTCCTTGGGGATGGCGGCCAGGTCCTTGTAGCCCAGCACCTGATGGTCCATCTTGGCCTGGAGGGAAATGTGAGAATGGAACGGAGGTGCGGAGAGCCTCACCTGGAATACTGACTGGCCTTAAATGCCAGACTCATAGTTTATTAGGAAGAAAATGGGCAGCCATTTTACATATCAGCTCTTATAAGTTAATAATTTTGTTATTTTAACTTTAAGGGTTTTGGTAGTCGCCTTAAAAAATGATAGTCCCTTGCCTAGGATTCTGGGTACAGTGAGATAGGACCAGACGAGTAGAAGGGCGGTGTGGGGAACCTTCTCTGGATTTGGGGTTCTCTCTGCCTGCCGGCCCTGGCGGGACCATCATCAGGGAGGCTCTGAGTGAAGCTGCCCAGCAGCGAGCTGTCCCCCGCCCCTCCCTCCTCCCAGCCTGAGGTTGCTGGTGGCGGAGAGGTACTCACCACGATGCTGGAGGGAGAGCCAGGACCACTGGAGCCTCGGGAGGAGCTGACGCTCCCAGGGGAGGTAAGTGGTTGCTGGGGAGAGTGAGAAGGGCGGGTGGGAACGTGTGTGCGTGCGAGGGCCAAGGGCCGGGCGCCAAGGGCCAAGGGCCGGGCGCCGGCAGTGCTCCTCTGAAGGCGGAGG